TTATGTTACAAAACGTTGATTTGCAGTCTCAAAGTTATATTAAAAAAGGTAGCAGATGGATCAGTTTGTCATTTGCAAGTCGATTATTGTGTTTCCTGGTAGATCATAGACTATCCGACAATGGTCTTTGGTATGTCACATCCATTATTACAGCGGGAAATTAAACTTACAGAACAAAGAGTTCTGGGGGTCTTCGACATTGTTTCCAACTTGATTAGTTACACTGGGCACATCCTAGCTGAAAGGGCTTCGTCAATCATCTGCACCAGATTACGTTTACCGACGCCGTGCTACATACCTCTCACAAAAACTAATCAGCTTGGTTTACATACCTTTTGACACATTATTCATCCAAATACGTCTTCGAACTCCCACATTTCTAACTTCTAAGTTACCTGACTTTTGGACCCAAGATTGTTTGGATGTTACAGAAAACGGCATTGCCAATCACTAAATACATATTATTATTGTTATTCACGAACAGCTTATGGGTATATAAGTGTTGTGAAGAAACCATTTCGGGTTTCTCCGGAAATGCAATAATACAAAAGTTTCAATAACGTTAGCATAATATTTGCCCCATTAAAGAAACAAGTTATGCGTTATTGAGAAGAATATTGAGTTAACCATAAAAAAGGGAGAAAATAAGGGTAAATAAATGAAGGAAACGCGAATACCTAAATAGTTTACTAAGCGTGTTTGTAAACACAGAACATTGACAAACGATTATGTATGTACCCATAAATGAATAACAAAACAGGATTAAAAATAAATAAGAAAATAACTCACTATTACAGCAAGATGTGATGGTAAAATAAGTGTCTGTACAGTAATAGTTAGAAGTGATGTTATAAAAGTCTCAATTAATTGAAAAGGATAATGAAGTATCAATGTGTACGAGTCATATATATAGTGAAGATATGACGAATCTGAAAAGGCAATTTAAGTGTAACACAAGATATTGTCTTAATTACAAACTTTGGATACTTAAGAATAATATTTATTTGGAGGGAAAAGAGTGATAGAGAAATGAAATGAACAGCTAGTGACAGGGTTCAACCATGATAAGAAGAATGTTTTGAATATGGACCTCTAAAATAAACCATATTTTAACTTCTTAGTGCACTCGGGTGAACACATGTTAATTTGTGTAATAGGATTCATAGGGAAACTTGATATTATTATAAACCTTCATACAATAACAAGTTGGAATGATGCTATGGAAGTCGCAATTAATTGCAAACGATGATCAAATACCAACTTCGATGTGTAATTTATGTGTGGTGATGATAAGATGAATCTGAGAAATTAATTTATTTTTAGCTATAGACTTTGAATGTTAAGGAATAAAATGTGTATAGAAGGAAGAGAAGAGGCGAAAAGAATATCTACGGTTTTGAGGGGCCAATCATGATAATAATAGCAATAATAACCATAAATACGCACATAAGTAGACTTCAGATATTAAAATGAATAGAAAGAGAAGAAAATAAACGAGAAAAGTTTTGAAGTTTACATTCAGCTTTTCAGCCAATCAGATAGATAACGGACCTTTTTTATATAAATCATTGTTAAACACATTGAGAATCAGTGGGTGACACAATCCACTTTCGGAAAGAAAATCATCAAGGAGGCTTTTTAACCGGGCTATAGTTTCATTGCAGCCTGTGGCTCCGTAGTCCAGAATCAAGCTCGCGTGTATCATATTAAGCACTTAAGGCTGTTACTTTTTGTGAAATAAGGCATACCATAATGAAATACAGAAGTTTTGTCTTATCCTAATACTAGCTAGATTTAAGCCTATTTCGCGCAAGGTTCTGAAGAAACACTTACAGCCAGTAATCGATTATTTTCCCATGTTTCTCGAATATGTATGATACTCCACATGAATATAAAAATAGTGTACATGATACATTATGTATGCATGGGAGCACTTATTACATTCCTGATAATATCTTTGTACGAGATATCATGTTTTCGACGCGAATTCGCATTTTGGCTAATTTAGTTGGAGTAATGGTAGTAGATCTCTCACAGAATTCTGAAACACCGATTTGGAAGATATTACTTAGCTGTAATCGAGAAATGATATTTAGTGGGGGCATGCAGTCTGGAGTTGAGGCCGTTTCAAGTGCTTAGGATCGGGAATGTTTGGAGTTACGCGTGCTGCGGTTAGGACAGTCAGGGTTAAGAAAGCTAAACTTACCACATTTAAGGTTGGGAGTTTTCATTTCAGCATAACAGATATGGGATGCTAGCATGTCAATCTATGTTATTCCTCGCTTATTTCCATGAATGCACACCAGTTAATTATTCTCCATTCACTGTAATTATTGTTCATCTGTGCTGACTTGTGTTTTCGTCATTTAAAATTCAGTTCATACTTGTGTGTAAAGAGTGAGTTACTCATTATTTCTTGAGTAAACTTGTACGACTCCTCGTATCTGAACCTATTCAATATCATTATTCACTTTTTGGGCTTAACCCCTCACATGAATATCTGGAATATACGTGTCCTAGTGACATCTCACATTCGATATTTAGTTTCACGTTATACTAACATGATTGGTCCGGAAAACAAACACGAAGTTAAATATGCTATGATTTACAAGCATCATCGTTAAATCATATTGAAGTTATCAGTAGGTGCTGAAATGTCACGACAATTCTAAGATGATAAGTAAAGAGACATTTTGTGTATCTCTTAAAAATAACATTAGCAGCAAACGTAGTCTAGGAAATTATATTTAAATTATTTGGGGCATCAAGAACTGCAATAAAACCCTTAAATTAAAAGATACATCATGCCAAGTGAAACAACAATCATGATTTACAAAGACAATAACAATAGCGTATATACTTCTTTTCGAATGTAGACTTGACCAGTAGATATAATACTGATAGACAAAACACTCAAGCAGCTAAGGACAGCGGAACGAGTGACTCGCCACAGAAGACTGGCCTCCATATCAAGTTTTCGACCAGATGAAATCCTTCATCTCATCCGTCGACAAAAACGAAAGAAAACTGATCTAACTGAAAAGCCCATGTCTCTACTATTAACTTAGGTAATCCAACCCTCTCTTCTCAATTAAAACGGAAACCGACATCGTCAATACTTTCGCCAGTCCACTTGTCTAACTAATCTCTCTCTATTTCCAGAATTCTCAGAGGGGTTTGACGCGGCGCCACATGCACTCTTCATGGTAAAGATGGATTTCACTGACCAACCTCTGTCTCAGCTCATTGCTACCTAGGTGATAGGACGCTTCGTACCAAAATAAATAAAGTTCACTCTGCTGGAGTGATCTCGAATTCTGTAGTTTCATAAGCAACCGTCTTAGGTCCAATTCTATGCCTGACCTTTATTCATGACCTTCTAGATAAAATAAACTTAGCAACATCAGCTTATGCGGGGTATGCGAGGATCTGGGGGCTCATGAAGAACGAAAAGAAACCATTTGAGATCTAAATTGAGCTGGCGACAATATAGGAAGGAAAAGTACAATATGGGTTAATACAACGTATGTTGGAGTGTTGTGTCAAGAAAATTTTGGCTCCTTTTGACAGAAAGAACTTATATCCATCATGAAAATAGCTCGCTATTTTCTACTCAGAGCGCGACCCGGACCAGTAACAAGACAACTTAGACACCTGCTCAAACTGTATGGCCGTTGGAACTCAACTGTTCATTTGATGCAGAGGTAATTTATGGTGACCACCTCCGAGTTGTTTCTAACACCAATTGATACTTACGACCTCCCTTTGAAGTCCACATTGTTTTCGAGTACACTGATACAAAAGAAACGTAAAACTCCTAGAACAAGTACACAAACAGGAACTAAGTGTTTGATTAGGTTAACGGTAAATTTTATAAAGGCACACTTGGACATATTCTTGTGGTGACACAGGAGAATAAGACGTTACTGTAAGATACAACACAACATATTAGCTACTACGACCTAAAACGAGAATCCTACCGTTACATCACCATCACACGCTTCGAGGTAACCCCTGTAAAATTACACGTCAAAGAACAAACGAAAAAGTACGCCCCCACTTTTTCTCATTCAGATTTGCTCCATTTTTGAATTCTGTCTAAGCCGAGTCGACAACAACAGTTTCGGCGGAGATGAGAAATAAAACACACGTGCTCACCCTCTGATTATTGTCTCCACTTTAAACTGACTGTACCTGATGCATGTCTAGCAATTTATCTACAGTTATCATTATCACATGTTAACCTATGCTCATTATTTTTGTCTCCCCTTTTATTCTTGCAATTCGGCCTCCTCACTCTTTCTGAATCTCCAATCAATTAATTTATTTGCTATTTTTGGTTCTTGAGACACTCGTCTTTTCTTAGCATTCGAATTTCCACTTTATTGTTCTTCCCATTGTAAACAACCATCTTTTTGCTTGTTCATGTGATAGTTGTTGGTTTTTGAATACCATATTGCTTTAGGACTACAAGGCATACAAACCCACAAATAACTACCGAAATGATTAGAATTAGTGCAGCTGAGTGGCTAGATTACCACACATTGAACGCTAACGAATAACTGGAATCGTAGTAAGACAACAAGAAGGGGATGAAAAGAAATCATTTAATCTATACATGCTCGTCGTAAAGATATTATATTCTGAGTACTAAAAAGACTTGCAACAACACTGAAACACCATGAGGGAAACGAAAGAGATCAGTTAACATAAATTAACCCACCAAAATGATACTGCGTGGTTAACAACCCCCCAAGAGGTCCTTCAAGTAGAAGCCTGACATGTTTCTAAAGATCGGAACAGTGCTTAACTCTAATTGATAAATATTTCCTTTTTGCTTTTTAAGTATACTTAGGTTCCTACCCGAAGATAACGGCGACTCACTGCTACTAGATACGGAGGCTCTTAAGGCGAATTACTCTGCGTTCTGTCCACGACTATCTACAATATTGAAAGATTTGACCTTATGCTTCACTGGCAAGTGTTTTTTGACGTGCAGAGAGCGCGAAATCAAGGTCGTGTTCATAGTCCGCGATATTCAAGGTTGGGGTTATGAGACAACTGGTTTGATTACAGATTAACGTATTAAATCATCCAATTACCTCCTCTGTCTCCTGATTGGTCAAGTTGGGTGTGATCTCAAGGTAGTTTTGTTGTATCGCACAGCTTCACCTCGTAATTTCTTTCCTGACTCCTAACAGTGACCTATTTAAAACAACCAACATCAATTAGTAATCCTATTTTGAGCCATGTGAGTGACTGGGATTTAGCGGTCATTTTTGTGATTGCTCAAAGTCGTCTCCATACTTGAGGTCTGCCAGTTTATCTAGAAAAATGTGAGCTATCGTACAGTGGTGACCTATTGTTGTACTTACACATTTCTGAAGTGATTGTAAGAGAGTGGTAGTTATAGACAATAATGCTTCTCCCTTCACTTGATTCCTTTTCAAAATGCAGCAAAAGGGTGTCTAGATATTTTCAGGCATCGTATTTCAATTATCTGTATATCTTGATATATATATATATATATATATATATATATCTGCTCTTCCAGCTTTCACCCACATAGATCACACGTATTTTAGGCCAGATACCTGTTTATCTTTTAATGTATGCGCAAAACAGTTTTCTGCGTATTGCTTTGTGGCTGCCAGAGTGTGCCTAGATTTCTGTAATAAGGTCTTGTATGTTCTTGAAAGAATACCAGCGCTTTGTAGGACCGATAGATTAGTTAGATGTAGAGAGCGTTGGTTGATAAAACCGTCAGCGCTCATCAGTCCTTGTGGATGATACGTAAGATGTGCATATCAACCCACTTTTAACAACACCGCACTCTATTCGTCAGATGACTAGATTGGAAGAAGTGAACAGACCAAAATATCAGTCCATGAAGTTACTAAATATCCATTTGTAGTGGACGCCTTGATTGTAGTTCGTAGGGAAATTCGGATCTCTAGCATTGGATGTTAAGTAATATGCGGCAAAGGGATTCACCCAATGTTTCTGTTTTATTTGCTTGTCCGGGATTAATACCATGTCATTCTATTCATTTGTTCCTCTCTGAAGTAAATTTTAGTTTCCCACAAAATAATTTCTTTAGTTTGACTTATTAGACATGTGGTCAAGATTTCATTGTTTACTAACCACCTCTCTAAATTACCTCGTTTTCTTTTACTATGCATTTTAGTGCTTTTACAGTTCCATTGATTAATCTATCATTTTTGTCTTAAGATTTTGGTGTTGACCACAGAAGATTCCAGTCTGATCTCGACAAATTCAAATTAACTCTATCCTTCCAAAGATCTAATCTTGACTAAAATCCAAGTGCGTATAGAATATGGTCGAGGTTAACGATGGTCGCCATTTTAAAAATCCTTACCAGGATTATATGCCTGGAGACCAGCTTAAAGTACTTTCAGTATTTACTTGTGCACCACGTTCCAGGTTGGAGATACAAGCATCCCAAACAAAATTGTCGAACTGTTAAATGTTCTGGATTCGAATTTCGAGAAGTTATCGTCGTCTGATGTATCAATGTACACGGGCTTGTCAGGTGAGCGTTATGCGTTTTTATCATCCTCAGTCAGTGAATCAGTCATGTGCAACGTCGAACCTGACATATGTATGAATCGGTTCAAGCTGAATCACACCGTCAGAACAGCGAAATGAAACTGTCAGCGCATGTGTCAGAAAGGTAGATATAGTAGCAGTATTAGTAGTAATGGGAGAGATTAGGTATGGAAAGTAAAATTCGAGAAAATATGAATTTGTGGAATGAAAATATGTAAAACAGTTTATAGATTTCATATCTAAGGGAATGCACCTGTGACATTGCGAAAGCTTTTGAACCACGTCACCCAAAGTTTCTAACAATTGGTCAACATAATCGCGCGGACTTAACCAGACAGTCTGAACTTAGTTACATGGTCCATTGCAGTGTCTTAATGTATTTGAACTGAACCATGGTTTCAGATCAAATGAAATAACTAATCAAAAATGTGAAGACTTTTATGTGTGGATAGTGGATTTTATATTTTCTTTTCTTTATGCATACAGGTATTGTATTTTTGTAAGACATTAGGTGTGGCGCACCATGTCACATCAGTATATACGTGTTACCACCACATCTATTCTGACTTATTAATCAATGAAAGTCAAGTGACTGACTGGCTAATTCGATCAAGTGTTGATTTATATACCAGATATCTAGTCATGTCATTTGAATAAATATATCAGGATATGTCCTTCAATTTGAAGTAACAAACCATAATCGGATTCTCGGAGAAATCCACCTCTGTTTATATTCTGTACTTCTACTGATGAGCCCCACGTAGTGTGAAAGGAATATAATGTATGAAGCACTGAGTTGACTAGTGAAATTCGTCACTGATCGTTGTTAGTGTAGTTGAACAAACGATGTTCAGTAGTAAAACCTCTCATTAGATGTTGACAGTATTATGTTCCAGATTGTTCGTAACCCATTGTTTTGATATAGTTAGCAATTTATCGGAACCTTTAAACCCACAAACAGACGTTTTCTAGTCATTGAGCCGTAAGAAATGTAAGCGTGCACTGTAGGATTTGTGAATAGTATGCAAATCACTCGACCAACGTGTGTCTTTCCATTTGTTTGTAGGTGTAGGACTATTCTACAATTTCCTATCACAATCCAAATGTGAATTATTAGACAGAAAGATACGTGAAAATGGTGTTGCATGTTCTGAGAAATTGCTGAATCGATGCCTACGTCACATTAATTTCAAAGAGTTGTCTAAAAATATCAGTGTTTACACTAGCCCGATTGGTCCACTGTGTTTGGGTGCTTTATCATCAGTCAAACATGGCAGTGAGAATACAGAGGCAAAGAAATTCGTAGAAGAAATTTTGTCAGCGAGTAAATATGGCCTAGATGTGGACTGTGGGATGCCTGATGAAGCGCTGTATGGGCGTACTGGCTATCTAAATTGTTTGGTAACACTTCGAGAAAATAATTTCGACATCCCTATTTCAGTTGTCTCGTCGGTATGTGTATGTGCATTTGTTACTGCTTTGGAATTGTTCATTAATGAATTGTTTGTACTTGATTGTGTAGAGGTGAATTACTGGAGAAGTGAATGAAAAGGTTTATTCACAATTGATTGATCACTGGGTGGTGACCAATGTCATGCGTGTCTAGTCCTTATTATTAGTGCAGATCGAATGCTATCGACCAGGTTTATTGCTCCACTGTTGTTCTAGATGATTTGTCGGTTTATGAAACTGGTCCAGTCGAGCAAGCCTTACAATGATGTGTTTGTGGCTGATATTATGGAAGTGTTGTCAGTTGTGGTGCTTTGGAGGTTGTAATTCTGTCATGTAGGCACACACCTCTCGACCATTGTTTTCGAGGTTCATATTGGAATTCATGTTTATGAAGACATTTAATGAAACTTGAGTGAAACATTAAAGCCAAATGTTTTGTGTGCGTTGTAATGTTATACCCTTGTCACATGGTTACATTTATCAGTGATAAATAGTATGAAATTAGAAGACAAATCTTATGAAATTGCCATAATTCTACGACTTATATTGATTTAAGAAACTGGTTGAAGAAAATTAAAGACATAAATATTCAATGGAAGAATGTAAAAATTAATCAATTTTGTAGGCTTTTATTCAGTTTCATTGAAATTACAAGCACTCGGAATTTCATGTGATATGAACCGATTTTCGGTTTGTGTTTGGCTAACAATGTGAATCAGAAGTCTTTTCACTAGCACACTTGTTTACTCCATATTTTTGTATTTTTGAGACATTTCTGTGATAATAGCAATAACAATTGATGTCTGTACTTCACATTTGTTTCTTCTTAGTTGTTTGTATCTATGGCACCACCGGCCAGTTGTTGTAATGCATGGTATGAATCCGATTCTCATGACCGATACTAATTTTTGTAGTACAATCACCAGTTTTACGTTCCATGAAAATATTCAAGTGACTCATACTGTAACGTTTTGGTCATCTTTTCAAGAAGTACTTCTTGTGATTGTTTGTGCATAAAGTTACGGCATTTCACTATGTGATTTATGAATTTATGTGTTTTTCTGTGATATGAAAGTAGTAACACTAATGATAACAGTTTTACTTTAGATAACAGATGCTATATTGAAGTCTGGTCAGAAAACAGCTGGTGCTTACAAATCGAATGGTTTTTATAATAGATTGATGTATCAGTCATCGAAACGAGATTTGCGCATGCCACCCTTAATGTTCGAATGGCATGATAAATGTTATCTTGGTGGAGCACATGGTTTTGCTGGTATCTTGACTACTCTACTGAAGGTAAGATATTTGAACATGATGCTATTTTTCGGTTAGTTTCTGATACAAATCATTGAATGAGTTATTCAGCTGCTAATGAGAAGATCGTTAATGAACGTGAGTAAAATAAGCTTCATTAGTGAACTGGCTACCAGTAACTCATAGAATTTGATTTTGTGGAAAACATGACGCTTGACTAACTCTTTTTTTGGGATTGATGTCTAAAAAAATTAACCACTCCATTATTATCATTTTAATCTCAAGCTACTATGCAGCTGATTCCCGTTAATATTTCATTTTATCAGCTTTCGAATTTCGATACCAATTGCTCTATCTATTTTGCTTCTGATCCTAAAGAAGCAAATTGTTTCTGTATTCCTAACTGTAAATTGTTTCAGTAATGCTTACACTTCTCTATCTGATTGTAAATCATGTATGTGTGATTTACCTAGTATCAAGATGAATTGTCTTTTTTCTAAAAACAATCACCTCTTTCATAAATCAGGTGGATTAACTCTTAAACTTTTATAATTCTTGGATATTGAGTCATTCTGGGGCTCTCGATACTCCGAGTTCATTCGTCCATTTTTATTCATTTTTCTTTAATACTTTCACTACCGATGGTTTGGTTTATCACAAATGAGACTTTAATCGATATTTAGCGAAACTTCGCTAATTAGAATCCTGGTTATAAATTCTCTACTCCGCGCATACTTTTTCGTTTATAAGCTAGCGTCTTAAGCTTTGATCAATAATACGCTTTGTCTGACAAGAGTTGAAGTCGAAGCAGTCTTAACTCCTACTAATCTGCTGATACATACCTTTCCTATCATCAATCTTGAGTCTGAATGAGAGAAAACGACAGGCAAGCTTAAGACGCTAGCTTATAACAAAATGGAGGATCAAACATTGATTGCGATGAGACTTTGAACATGCGAAGTGCATTTGTATGGATGTGTGTTCATCTGTCGTTTAATTTTTAAGATTGAAGTCAACCATTCTATGTTGAAATACATCCATACTGTTATGAATAGTTGATAATGTCTTTTGATTACAAAATTTAAACGTGTTTAGATTATCCATAACAGTAGAATTCAGTAGGTTCGTTTTATCCTATTCAGGAGTCATCAGTTAGATGTACTTGCATCTCAGACTTCAGCTGATAAATCCCAAATAGGATATAGTGCGAGTGCTGGACTCCACTGCTAGCCGCAATTCAAATAGAAATAGAGTTTGAAGAACGAAAATTTATCAATAGTTACAGACTTAATACTTGTAGGAATATAAAGAATAAATGCAACTGCACCACTGACATCGGTTTTCCCCTTTTTCACTTTACGTATGAAACCATAATTTTCAACTTATGTGGGTTGTAAGCAGAAACTCTACACCTTCCTGCATAGCTCAAACCAATAGTTTTAGTACAGCTCACCACATACAAGTCACTGAAATAATGTTTTAGCCTCATTTGAGTGTTAGTGGTACTACTAAGCTGAAAGAATAGTTGATGAACTGCTAATCTGAACTTACAATCTACTGGTTAAAAGTTAATCACCTTAATTACTAGGCGAGCACTCGATGATGTGATATAAATTAACTTGAAGGGCTGTATATTTTTTATACTTTCCACGCTGCTTGCATCAGTGTGTATTTCTATCTATCGGGTTCTTTATAATCTTCATTAAGAAAGTGGGAAATTTTCCACTGTTAAGCAATACTGGTTATATGTTTTACTCACGTGTTATTTACTTATTTAACAGGTAATCTGATCGTTTAGCGTGAAGGGGAGTATAACAGTTAGAAACTTAATATATTGTGAGTTGATTGTATAACTTACTAATTGAAGCAATAGTAGAACTTTTTCTAGAATATCTTTCAAATAGTAAGACTTTAGTCATATAATTATTTAGCCTAGTTAGTTGTTATTCACCACTTGTATACAAACAGTCATAAGGATATAACTTTCAGTGTTTTTTTTTATCTACATTTCTACCGTGTCGTCTATCATGTTTATATTCAACTGTTAAGTGGTTTTGTAGATTTCAGTTTAGGCAACCAGTTAATATCACTAGCCTTCATTTAGAGTATGTCTCAAGGCCAAATACACGTATCTGTATCTGATCAACGAGTTGAACATTGTAAAAACTTACCATGTTTACAAAAGAGTCATTTTTGTTTAATTTTTTCGAATTAATCTGGAAAATGATGACCCATCTCGATATGAATTGACACTTTGATCCTTGTAATGAATTAGCCGAGTTAAATCATTTTCCATTATGTTTTACTCTAAAGGTATATCGTTTGTTTCCTGGTAGCATATCGTCAAATTCCTTAAATCAGTTAATTCTACCTACTGTTGATTGGATGAGTCAACTTCAGATAATCAGCGGAAATTGGCCTTCTAGTTTAGGGGAAAGCTTAAATCGTGATGTATTAATTCATTGGTGTCATGGTGCAACGGGTGTTATTCCACTTATGCTCTCAGCTCATAAGGTAGGTTAGCAATATTATTTTAGAAAATGATTTAATTATTTTATAGTTCATTTCACAGGACAGCTATTTAAAAGCATTAGTTAGCTGTCTCGTCCCAGTATGGAACCCCTCAACTGTACTCATCGACGGCTCCACTAAAAATCAGATTCAGAATAAATACTCTACATAATCAGAATGTATTTAAAATCGTTATATTTCTGCGTACTATATTTTAATATAGACGTAGACTCATTAGCCAAATACCTATGGGAACATATTCACCGACGTTATCCTACTACTTCACGAATTAGATCCTTAGTTCAACGGAATGATTGGTTGTCTGAAGAAAAACTAATTATTTCAATCGGCTTGCAGTATGTGTTCTGTGCCTTCTATATAAAATAAATCTGATACTCCAAATACACTAAGGAAGTTTATTTAGCTTTATATCCCAGTTAATTTTGAAACGTATTAAACTGTTGAAAACACAACGTTCTTAATTCCTCTAGGTCCATGTCTCTTAATTCCATTGAGGATTTCCCTCACTGACTCATCCCGTTTGTAGCTTATTCAAGTATTCTAGATAAAATTTAGATTGGTATCATGAAATTAAGTAAGTGGGTTATATCATAAACCGTCACTTAGTAGTAAATGTTGCGTGGCCGCTTGTATGGACAAGTTTACTTGAATCTAATTTTGCTTTCCTTAACAAATTAATTGGTTTAAGGAAGGAAATAGTAATGATATAATAAAAAGGCGAATGCTTAAATTATGTTGGAGCTCGTGTGTAGTTGTATCAGTCTAGTTCGAGTATTGATTAATTCGTCTACATCGTCTATCTAGTACCAATGACAGTTCTGAGAGTCCAACTTTACTTAATATTTACCTAGTCAAAGTACTCTATACATAAGGAGACATACATTAGTTTGCATAAAATATGTTTTTCCATATTTGTAGCGCTTAACACTCGAGATAAGGAGCTTAGGTAACCATTTCATTCACATAATTCAGTTACTGTAACGTATAAATGTATTCAACTCTTAAACCACAAATGTGACAATCCGTGTGTAAGACGTTTCGGCTGATGCACATCATTTGATTGAAAACAAGAGTCAGTCAGCTACAACGTAGGACCAGGCACATATGTGCATCGGTCCAAATTGCCACACCTCATTAGCACAACAAGATGAACACCGGATTCATAGAAGTAATTGATTCAGTGGTGGTAATATATAGAAGAAAGATTGCATATAGGGAGATAGTACACGAAGAGAGAATTAGTTCGTAGAAAGAAAAATATGAAGCAATTTTAATCTCTTAGTTTGAAGAAAGACAGAGAGTGTATACACCGACGCCATTGTGATCGATTCTGAACCATGTCACCCAGAGTCTCCAACCATTGGTTGCGATAGTCACGCGGACCCCAACCAAGTAGTTTGCATCTACCAACATGGCTCAGGCAAGAAGTTAGTAACTTCTTGGACTGATAATACGTTGTGGTTTGGTCGCCTTTAACTTTCTTCCAGCCATCTCTAACATTAGTCAGCATTGCGCGTCGTGTTAATCAGTGTTCAGGCGAGAGTCAGTTCAAGAAAAATATATTCCCAGGAAAACTAAATAAAATGTTAATACGTGAAAACATAAGACTTTATTTGAAAGTGAATAAAGGAACTTTAGATCATTAAATATGTAACTATCATTTTAAAAATATGAAAATCTGATTCGCAATATGTAGTGTACACGAACTCCATGATTTCAACAAGATAACTAGTATATAAACTGAATCTAATCATTTGCTATCGGAATGCATGTGCTGACGTTTCTTATTCGCCTCCTGATTAAGTGATTATCTAAGAAAGCCATTTATCTTGAACCGTATAACCGAGTAGTATTGCGTCTTATATAAAATGCTGGATTTTTCGACAATACTCCTATTGCACCGAATAAATCATAATGCATAAAAACCTATATGTACTATCTCGGACAAAAGGTTTTGTGGAAACGTTGTTGGACGAGAGTTTTCTGAGCAAGGCTATGAGAACAAACAGTTCGTATCTCATCTGTAATAGGAGAATTATCAACCACTAGTGAGTCTATGAAGTGGCAAAATAGGAGTTCAGAACTAATCAAACTTCACTTAAAATATTCTCCTTTCATTTGGATAGATATGTATGATTTTTTAAGTTCATCGGTAGTTTGTTTACTGTTATTTAAACTCTGTGTTGTTACATTCTGTAGATTACAGGTGAAAATAAATATTTGAAGTGTGCATTAGATGGAGGAGAAGCTGTATGGACTCGTGGTCTACTTCACAAAGGCTGTGGTCTATGTCATGGTTCAGCTGGTAGTGGTTTCGCTCTATTAGAGATTTATCAAACAACTCAAGATCCCAAATATTTGCATAGAGCTATAAAGGTTGGTGTCAGTTCAGTGACAGTGGTAGTTCAATGCATTTGAAATATATGTATCTTGTCTTTTGTTTTCTGGATATATGTGTATTACAAACTTTACAATGTGCCATTATATTTGTTCTGTATACTGTGTATAGTTGGAAGTACAACATTGTAGTGTTTCACTGGAAATCCTCATTTTTCTGTTCACTATTACGCGTTTTGAATGGACGGTGTCTGAATTCACTTACCTTTACACTAGTTTGTAATGATATTGTAAGTTGATCAAGTACCGGTGTATTTTCACGTTACTCCATAATTATCATACTGTTATATTTTATAGTGTGAATGAATGTATTTTGTTAGGTTATTTGTGTACCTATCGAGGCGTTCGACATTGGAGCAGTTAGTAGCCACTCAGTTATCCGTCATTAAGAACTGTTTATCGACCCATTGCTTTGAACTGACTGCTTCGGTTGAACTAATGCATTATGATGTCGAATCAGTTGTTTAGCTGGTTCTATTATCATACTAGCGGTTACCTTTGAGTGATTGTTAAGTCAACATCTCGATGATCAGATCGATGAACGTAATGCTCATTTGGCATGATATTTTTCTGTCTTAACCATCTGCGAAGATTTATGTGGCTTTTAGAATAGTCAACCAGACAATTTAAATCAAAAGAAACTCATAATTGTTCAATGTTTTTACATTTGCTCTCCAGTTCGCTGAATGGTGTACCGACTGTTTTAAAAATGCTACTCGCGTTGCTGATCGTCCGTACTCACTTATGGAAGGTTTGTTTAGTGTGCTTTTCCATTTGTAACTAAGATTAATCCCTCTTATTGCTAATATAGTTTCACACTAATATTACACGTTAGTCCTCATTTAAATGGTATCCACCAGGAGTTTGTGGAGTGTTGTGGAAGAAACTAACTTGTTAGCAATTAGTAGTGTACCGTTCAATTGAAACTACTCACTTTTCTGATTTGCTAGGATCTTTAGTTGAAATTATTGAATAGGAAACTACTCCCACTTTCCATTTTCGCACGTAATGTTTTCTCGTGCGTAATCACGTATCACTGTTTCATTCATGCCTTCTGAATTTGTCATGGAGAAGGCTGTTAGTGATTTGATTAGATCAAATTTTCGACTGTTAAATCAATGAATAGAATGCTAATTAACGGATGAGCACGATGATGGTGAGTGTGACCGAGTGGTTTGCTAACGTGACTGTAGTACCAACGGAAGCCTCCAAGTGATTATAAGTCAAAGAGAAAACGACTAGCCAGATGAATATCTTTCATATGTGATAAAATAACATGGTTATGTGGAGACTATGAGCACACAATAAGAACGACAAAGTGTCACAACCAATTGGAGTTAATTAACATGTAGGTCGTCGATTCGGCAATCAATTAAGGTCTGACTGTTAGTCCTAGTCTTTGTACATTGTAAGAGAAGTGTAGATGTATGATGGATTGTAAAATGTTATGTGTTAACAATGAAGTCATGTGTGAGACAGATATCCACCACAGGCAATGAATGGGAGTTGTGCGACATTGTGAATTGGTTAAAGTTAGTCATTCACACTGTTGGATGACGGCTGGTTTCAATTCCCGTGTTTGGAGTTGTGGATGTGCATTCATGAGGAGTAGTCCCTAAGTAGAGTGAACAGTGGATGCCATCGTCACAGTGTATTCTCCTCCTTCCCTTGTCATGAATACTATTCTATTGTAATGTAAAACAACAAACTATTTTATCTTCTCATTTCCAGTTTGTTATGTGGAAAATTGACTATTATTTATCGGTTTGACTGAATTGTATTTATTATTTTGAAATGATAGTTAGTTCACTGTAACAGTTTGTTTTCTGTGTTCATATTATCTGTTTAGGTCTTGCTGGGACACTGTACTTCCTTGTTGGTATTTTGGATCCAGTTAATTCGAAGTTTCCTCTACTAAGTGGATTGTGAATAGAAAGAAACAATCATTTTATTTATATCTATTCAACTAACTTTGTCTGTCATTTTGTACTCACATCTATTTGTTCATCATTCACTTAGTTTATGAGAAAATGTTATTTGAGTCTCGTGTCTGCCGATTAGTTCACATTTGTTTTAACGATATTATATTCAGTGTATTTTGTGTTGTATACTCTGTTTAATCTAAACCCGTGTGTGAAAATGCCACTTTAAGGCATACTGTGTATATTTAATGATGTTGATTGATTGAATATTTGGTGAGCATCGTACTGTATTCGCGTTTTTTAAGTTGCTAGGAGAAGTGAGTAGTCTGCCAAGTAATGGATGTGTAGAGGAGACGTGGATGAGTGTATACATATGATGAAAACGTTGTTAACTGTAATGATGTGTCATGTTTTCGTAATCGCACTCACAGTATATTTAGAATTGCGATTTCTGTTGGACGTTGAGAGCTGGATCATAAGAGCGAATTTTTGTTAGTGTTGAAAGATAGTTGTTCGACCAACATGGTGTGTGTATAGGTGTGATGATATGAGACTTGTTTTGTCTCCGAATCAACATTTCGACAAACTAAGTCAACACTTAACAACTCATGGTTTGTAATTTAAAAGTCATTTTAATATTTCATACATGTATTATTTGGACTTATTTTACGATGAATCATGCCCCACGAAAAGTCATCAAGTGCCCAGTAAACTCTTGTGAACATTTTATCCAATCAGGATTGAATGGGCATTTCTTCGGAATATTTTAAAGGAAAGTCATGGTTAGCGTAATAAATATAGTGTGGTGTATGCTACTTAAACGGACAGATATAGGTAGTATGTGGTAGTTAAAGGAAGTTAGTCCCTTGTTGGGAGAAGAGGAGAATGAGGAGGAGGAAAAGAAAAACAGAGCACTGGTAATAGCAACAAAAATGAAAGCACGATTGGGTTTGTGAAGGTCGACTCAAGGAAGATGTGCAAATGGTGTGTTGGATGTATTGTCTTTATATTTTACAAATTCAGTATGTAATTAAAGACAGTGCATTTAGTTTAAGCCTTCCCATGTCTTCGTTCTTAAAAATCGGTGTCGCTGTCACTACACAGGATGAAGATTCCGTGGCCACTGGAGTTAGAGGAAGGAGATGTACAGAGTGTGCTGAGAGAGTTTGGGACTTGTGTGTAGAAGCCTAAGGTGAAGGTGGTGGTGCTGGAGACGTTACTGAGAGACAGAGCGAAATGGGTGTTTGACAGCGTGGATGGTGCGCGCGGGAAGACGGCATGGGAGGTAGTTACGGAGCCAAGTTTACTGGAAGAAGGCACTGAAGAAATTTACGGTGAATTTTGATCTGCTAGTGTTTCCGACGTGTCTAACCTTATTGTTACTTTGTGAGCTGTCGATTTTGAATGAGTTGTCTGTCGTTTGGCTTGCTGGCGTCGCAGTTTATTGAGAACTACAGCATGAGTTAGCCGCAATACGAACAAACAATTGCAGAAATAATATATGTTAAGCTTGTGAGGAAACAGGCCATTAGAAGAGAGACTGAAAGCCGAAACACATCGTTTTCATATCTTTCTTGAGTTGACCATTACAAACATCACTGTTCTTCCATTCCTGTTGTTAGTACCATTGCTTTCTGTTTTTCTCCCCTCTTTATTATCCTTTTTTCCAGAAAAAGATTAGCTTCCTGTATCTGTCCGTACAAGTAGCACGTTTTTATTTATTTTATTTTAACACATAAGTATAGGTACAGGGAGGCACCAAATACATATGCGCCACACAAATCTCAATTGATTTGTGTGAGGGCTGTGATACTGCCCGGGTGCCCAAACCGAAACAGGTGGTTTTCTTAGGGGGCCACACCCCGAGCCTTTGACCTGAAGATCTGATCCACAAGGCAGTGGAGCATCGTGAGGAGATGCAGTCCCATGGTAGCCGGTGACCAACGATTGGTTCATACGCCATTTGTTCCCGCAGGATACTGGAGCCCATGTGCACCATTGGTTTGGGGTCCGGTTAAAGCTCCAGACATTCGCTTTTCGTCCTCTCATTTTTGTAAACAACACCCCCGCCACGAGAAGGCAGTGAGTAGGACTTCCCTGGCAGAGGCTATATACGCATGGCCATGTGAGAGCATTTCGAGAGGCAGAGCGGACTTTCCCCACTCTCGGCTGTACCAGGGCATTTGGGGGCACGTACCACAGTATTTATCACGCTTGGATGACTCTCTACACGATAAAAGTATGATTATATTGAATATCGACCACCACAAGTTAATCATATTTAATTAGGTTAGCTATGTCATGATTGGTCGTCTACTATTATGAATGCGTCGCCGATTGTTACGTCGGAATCGCTTACACTTGTAAAACGAAGAACCACTGCAGTTTTCACAACGTGATGTAAGAACTTCATGACTGGCAAAAGTGAAGATTTATTAACGCCCAAAACACGACAACGACTCTAGTCGAAAATACACTTGTTACATATATTGACTGTATACCCATTTCGATTATTAATAATGATGGAATCATATATATGAAAAATACCCAGTTATAACGAATTACATTCTGCATGTCATGCTGAGCATAGTTCATGTGAATTTAATAAAGGAATATCGTATGTTGAACAAACATTACACTCAGATAAATGATTGTTATACCGAATAATATATCATACTGGAGAACGAAATTACTTACGCCTGTTACTCCTAATGGAGCATAGGCCACCGACCAGCATCCTCCAACCCACTCTGTCCTGAGCATTCCTTTCCAGGTCTATCCAACTTTTGTTCATTTTTCTCACATCTATCTCCATTTTACGGCGTAATGTGTTCTTTGGCCTTCAGGATTCCATGTGAGGGCTTGTCTTGTGACACAGTTGAGTCCTTTCCTCAATCTGTGTCTTATCCACTTTCAGCGCTTCTTTCTTTCTAGTTCTATCCAATTTTTGTTCATTCTCCTCATGTCTGTATCCATTTCTAGGCGTAATGTGTTCTTTTTCTTCCTCTCCTCCTTCGGCCTTGAGGACTCCATGTGAGGGCTTGTCCTGTGACGTAGTTCGGTGCTTTCCTCAATGTGTGTCTTATCCATTTCCAGCGCTTTTTTCTGATTTCTTCCCCCGATGGGATCTGGTTTGTTCTATCCCATAGTAGTTTGTTACTAATAGTGTCCAGCCAACAGATCCAAAGTATTTTGCGTAGACAACTGTTAATAAACATTTTTATCTTCTGGATGATGGCCTTCGTAGTTCTCCAGGTTTCCACCCCATACAGTAGAACTGTCTTGACATTTGTATTGAAAATCCTGACCTTGGTGTTGGTTGACAGATAGTTATGTTTGAGTTCCAGATGTTCTTCAGTTGTAAATATGTTGCTCTTGCTTTTCCGATCCGCGCCTTCACATCTGCATCAGATCCACCGTGTTCATCGATGATGCTGCCCAAATATGTAAAGGTTTTTAACATCATCCAAATCTTCTCTGTCAATTGTGATTGGATTGGTGCATGTTGTGTTATATCGGAGAATCTTGCTTTTCCCTTTGTGTATATTGAGACCTACTGCTGCTGCTACACTGGTCGTCTTCTGCATTTGTTGTTGCGTTTGCGATAGAAGAGCCAGATCATCTGCGAAGTCTAGATCATCCTACTGCATTCTAGATGCCCACTGTATCCCGTGTTTCCCTTCAGATGTTGACGTCTTCATGATCCAGTCGATCACCAAGAGAAAGAGAAAAGGTAAGAGTGGATATTAGTATACAAATACTGAAACTTAAGACTCGTTAATTCAGTACTATATGTTAATCATTAATTCATGATCCAGTTGATCACCAGGAGAAAAAATAGGGTTAGAATAAGCAACCTTGCATGACACCGGTCTTTACTTCGAAGGAGTTTGTCAACTTTCCTCCATGAACGATTTTGCAGTTCAATCCATCATAGGAGTTCTCCTGGGGCACGCCGTAGTGTCGAAGAAGCTTCCATAGCGTTGTCCTGTCCACGTTATCTAATGCTTTTTCGTAGTCAATGAAGTTGATATAGAGTGATGAATTCTATTCAATTGATTGTTCCACAATGATCCGTAGAGTTGCAATTTGGTCTGTACACGATCTATCTTTACGGAATCCAGCCTGTTGGTCTCGAAATAATACTACACATTAAATTAAAAATACAGAAGTAATATTGTAGAAAAATCACAATGTATAAAAGAATGCAATTTTACTTTTTAATCCCATTATGTCACCTCCCCTTCTTTTTTAATGGAATGTATAGAAATAAGTTTCCTATGGAGATTCTATTTGAATGATTGTTGTTCTTTTATTTGCAGGGACCTTGGATGATCATGTGGTCGTATCCCAGTTTCCAGTTGGTTTTTCGTCTTCATTTGAGAACAGATTTAATTAACGTTCTGACTACCATGTTGTGTTCCTTCGTTCAATGCATACACGATTCTCTCTCCCCCACGAAACAACGTTGGATCTTTATGTACACACGTCACATATAATGTGACTTTATTGACCTGAACTTTATTAGCACTACTCAAATCTTCATTATAATAGAGTATTGAAACGTGTAGATATACAAACAATTTTCCAGTACTTTGTATAAATTGTTCGTATTTAAGACTTTTGGCGAGATGGAATTCGCACGCTTGTTTTCTTCATTTGGCCTCAGCTTCCTGAAATAAGTATACAATTTTAAATCAGTGTCTAGTATGGCCGCTTTTATCTTAGACAATTCTCATTTCTACCATTGTAGGCACCGAGCCTTACCCCGACTAGGGTTGTCTTCATGTTTTTAGCGTTAATAAATCTTCACTTGTGCCAGTCTTGATGTCTTTACATCGCATTGTGAAAACTGCAGTGGTTCTTCGTTTTACAAGTATAAATAATAAGCGATTCCGACGTAACAATTGGCGACGCATGCATAATAGTTCTTAGGTAGCAACGACGTAGAACTTCGTACGTAGGTATATCAGTTCGAGTTGCCACACCACATTAGCACAGAGATGAAGATGTCGGTTCAAATCCCGTAGTGGAAGAGGTAGTGATAGGGAAAATTAGGGTTTGACGATGTTATTTAAGCAGTATAGTCCAGTGGAATAGATTTGGAAAGAAAACAAAGAACATGAAGAATACAGAAAGTTAGGATTTGAGAGAACACAGAGAGTGGATGCACCTACGCCAATGCAAACGATTTTGAGTCATGTCATTCAAGGTCTCTAACCATCGGTTGCTATCATCTCGCGGTCCCCAACCAAGTAGTCTATACCTACCAACATGGCTCAGTCCACTTGTCAGTGACTTCATGGATTTGTTCCATGTTTTGGTCTGGCCGCCCCTAAATTTCTTTCAACCTACTCCTACACCAGAAAGCATCGCACATCGGGGCAGTCGGTGGTCGGGCATGCGCAACACATGTCCCAGCCATCTCAACTGATTAAGTTTCACTACTTCATCAATTGATTTGCCATCCTTACCTAGTAGCCGTTTCCTAACAACTGCATTACTTACTCGATCGTCCCAGGATATACGAGCAATGTTTCGAAGACACCTATGATCAAATACTAGTAACCTACGAATATCCTCTACTCTTACTGGCCATGTTTCACTGCCATAAAGTAGGACGGAACGAACTGCTGCGCAGTAAACACGTCCTTTGGTTGATAGACGGATATCTCGCCTACGCCACAAATGACGCAAGTTGGAAAAAGCTAGTCGAGCCTTTCGTATCCGTGCTGAGGTTTCGTCACACACCAGACCACAAGGGCTGATGGGACTTTCAAGATAAGTGAAGCGGTCGACACGCTCAACTACTTCACTCCCTATCACTAGTTCGGGTGTCGATACAACCCAATCCTGAAGCAATATTTTGCATTTTGAGGGAGAGAATCGCATCCCGAACATGCCTGCATTGTTGCTTAGAGCGGTCAGCAGACTGCATTTTGTCAGCGTCCTCACTAAATAGAACTATGTCATCGGCATACTCTAAGTCAATAAGTGAATTTCCCGGTAGAAGTTCAAGCCCTGGAAAGTCAGATGTGGAAAGAGTTATCTCTAAAAGCACGTCAATGACAAAGTTAAACAAGAATGGAGAGAGTGGACAGCCCTGAAGAACACTTGAGGTAATCAGTTCTGATGACAGTTCGCCATAAGCTCTCACTCGACCAGTTGTGTTCGAGTAGAGAGCCTTTATAAGGTTAATGTACTTCTTTGGTACTCCTTTCAGAGACAAACACTGCCATAGGACCTCACGATCAACAGAGTCGAATGCCGCCTTAGGGTCGAGAAACACTACCATTGTGGGGCGTCTGAATGTGTGTCTATGTTCTAGGACCTGACGTAGTGTGAATATTTGATCTATACAACCATGTCCAGGTCGAAAACCAGCCTGGTTTTCTCTAGTCTGCTCTTCACGAGCTTTAGTTAGGCGTCGAAGTAATATTGAAGCTAATATTTTAGACACTATATTAGTCAAACTAATACCTCTGTGATTGTCACAAGAAGACTTTTGTCCTTTCTTATAGACTGGCACAATCAGTGGTTGAGACCAGTCAGATGGGATTACGTCCAGTTCCCAGATTCTACCTAAGACCTCAGTCAATCTCGCTGCTAATACTGGACCTCCATCCTTTAAAATCTCTGAGGTAAACCTGTCAGGACCTGCTGCTCTCCCACGCTTTAGATTACCTATAGCTTTCTCAATTTTGTAAAGAGTCGGAGGACTTACATTAATTTACCATTCAGGTAGATTGGAGATCGTGGGAAACCGAAGTGTGGCTGAAGGCCAGTTGAACTGATCCCTAAAGTGTTCTGCCCATCGATCCAATCTTCTGGATTGAGAATGTATAATATGTCCATCTTTTTCTGAGATAGTTTCGCTAACGGTTGGATTCCTAATACCGGTTTCCTTGACAAGTCTGAACAGTTGAGTACTGTTACCTATAGCCGCTGCCTTTTCCATCTCTTGCTTTC